GCTAATATTTCAGCCCGGGCTGAAATTCGTTATGTAATCGCAACAAAATTTCAGCCCCCCTAGCCGGACTGAAATTTCAGCCCGGGCTGAAATTCGCCATGTAATCAGGCCCTTAGACTTCAACTTGATATTGAAATGAACTCGAAAGCTGATCAATAATCGAAAAAGATAGCGTTACGCTTGCAATACGTCTTTACTCTCAACAAAACCACGCGCTTGTCTGGAAAGACGGACACAGGAGACGCGTGCAGATGCTGCAAAAATTCCCGGCGTTTGGTCTTCCAACCGGACACAGAGGGTTATCTCAGGACTTGGCCTACTGCACAGACGTCCTTATGGCTAGTAACGCAATCTCGTAACGCAATCTCTCTTCGCCGTTGGGGAAGAAAGATTGCATGACAAGCCTAAGTAGATCTACGATGGAGGCACTAACTCTAGTCCCTAAATTTTCTTGCCACATTTACTGTAAAATAAACCTGCATTCAGCGGACACCTCTATTAACGGACACAGACACCAATATTAAGCCATTTTGTTTCACAAAACCTGCAATAAACGGACACTTCAAGAGCTTTTTACTTCTAAAAGCTCAGCTCAGACACCTTTAACATTGTTCAGTGATGTCGTTTAGAAGCTAAGTAGATTATTCCAGATCGATGCATTGACTCTCTGGACATTGCGCTACGAGCGGTTTTTGATCTTACACTGTGTTACACTGTGTTACAAAAGGGTTAATAAGTTTAGAGCGGACACCCTGTATTAAGCAGACACTAGTGAGGGTCCCAAAGGTGTCCGCTTAATACAGGTTTCACTGTATTTCCAGAAGGTTACAGACCTTCTGTCCATACTGTCTATTCCAACCAATGTTTGGAATTTTTCCTTACTTTTTCGCCTCCTAAGCATCTTTCAGTTTCTGGCGACAACATCAGGTTACAGTTCCAATTCCTACACATTCCAGTTAATGATTCATTTACTGCTGTTTTTTAAAGCTTGTAACGACACAGATGCCAAGTGTCCTTCGTGGGCGCTATTAAAGCTGTGCAAGTCGAGAGACAACATGACTTGGATGAACAAAAACTGTAAGAAAAGCTGTGGCTTGTGCAAAGGTGAGAGCTGTTATGTGCAGTACACACATCACGTCACTTTTGTGGTGCTTTAGCTAGTTAGGCTGTATGTATTAAACTCACCGTTGGTCGTGGTCTGTGGAATGCCATTTTCGGCACGGGATTTGTGATTCGTGAAGGGGCCTATTTCACGTGAGTGGCACACGGTCTGCGTTCAAGACATTTGTTCTCTGTAATCACGGGATTCGTGAAGGGGTTTATTGCACGTGATTAGCACGTGATCCATGTTGACAACCTTTGTTCTCTAAAAACACGGGACTCGTTAAGGAGCCTGTTACACGTGAGTGGCACGTGATCCGTGTTCAAGACCTTTGATTTCTGTAAGCACGAGATTCCTGAAGGGGCCTATTATATGTGAGTGGCACGTGATGCGTGTTCAAGACCTTTGATTTCTGTAAGCACGAGATTCCTGAAGGGGCCTATTACACGTGAGTGGCACGTGATCCGTGTTCAAGACCTTTGTTCTCTGTAAGTTTCTTAACCGAGGTTTTAGACCGATATCATAAATCTTGAAACTGAGAGTTTTGAAGATCTAGTTTCAAGCGATTTCACCTCTTGATATCTTCACAGTTTATGACAAACATGCAGAATGCCCCGCCTGGGCTGCGATGGACGAATGTAAAACATCTAACTGGACTTGGATGATGGATAACTGTCCACGAAGTTGTGATGTTCCTTGTAAGTAAAAACTGTAAAACAATGGGTAACGGAGTCTACAAGGGTTTGTACAGCTGTTTCAACACTAAAAGAAATAGAAGGCGGAGTTGACGACTATAAAGAAGAATAACTAAGTATGAAAAATTAAGACTGACAGGATTCAAGGATTATATTATGTCTTCCTGCATCTTCAGGAAAACTCCAAAATATTTAACAGTATTCTGACGATCTAATCTTCTGTTCTGACCCTACATTTACCTGAATGTTGGTGAGTAAAAGCTCATTACCCTAGATTATTCTGCCCCCAGTTGACTTACGTAAATAAACAGAATAACATTCTAATCGTTTTACTTACGAGTCTTAACGTCTTTTGTAGTTTCAGAGGCCTCCTTTTGCGGCAACAAAACAAACGGTAATTACCATGCCCCCAGTACATGTCAAGGATACATTGCGTGTTCAAATGGTGTCACAAGTCATGTGGCCTGTCCCGCAGGACAGAAGTTTGACACAGTTAAGAAAATTTGCCAGTCAGCGAATCGAGCAATTTGCACAGCGGCTTGTCCAAGAAGTCAAATTCGACTAAGAGGTAATCTCAACACAGAATTGTGCAAAAAGAATGGAGGGAGAAGAAGTCGCTTTTGTTTGAATGTCTCGGCACTCAAGACCAAACAACCGCAACAACAACAACAACAACAATAAAAACATTTTTGCGCAATCCATTCAGGCTAATTGCATGTTATGTACGATAGTTGTTTTTGTTATTTTAGAATGTTCTGTTTTTTTCACTAATAAAGTTTTCAAACCAAGGTCACCATGACGTTGCCCGGTAGCTTTTATTTCAAAATGTTTCTTATTTTACAATAGTTACAGGCTCTACAGGAACGTAACTTGCCTAGAGTCCAACAGCTTATTTCTCCTGCATCGTTAGCATTATCAGTTAAATAAATTATTTTCCCTTCACCCTTAGCCTGAGTAGCAAGCGTTTCTGTGGGGTTCGGGAGCAAAGAATTTTTTGGCTCTCGCCCCATTTTCCGGGCAGGCAAAACACCGAAAGTCCCGTTCCTCGGTCTTTCTTTGCTTCCAAACCCCACGGAAACGCTTGCTACGCTGGCTACTTCACGCTTTAAGTTGATGTTAGCACATGATATTAATCACCAGAACGGAGTCAGTTTTATTAATTTTATCATCTGTGCTAACTTCTTTGTCAGAATAGTTTAGTTCCATTGGAAGGCGCACTTTAAGGCTTAGTTTCGCTCGCGGTCTAAGCAAATGCAAAGCATAAGCAGTGAACATGCTGATTTGTCTTTGGCTGTTCCCGCTTGGAATCACCGCGACTTATGAGTAAAAGCCACAAAACAACAATTGAAGACTGTTCGTTATACTTATGTTCTTGTTTATCCTTGTGATAATGATTTCTAGTTGGGACAACAAAAGAGGAATCAGTGTATCACTTTATGCTGTTCTTATGTTTAGGTCTTTGGTTAAGTCGTTGTTGTCGTCACTGCTCTTTATATTATGCCTAGGCGACTTATTCCATTAATGAAAACTAAGCCTAAAAGGTGTTTGACACCTTTCTCTTTTCATATCATGTAATTTAAATTTAAAGTTTGCACAAGAAAACTGGGACTTCTGCTAAACTATTTTAACCTCTTTGAGTTATTTTGAGGCCTTTGTTCCCAAGGCAACCTCTTTTTCATAGTGTATTTCCATGTTCAGATGGAACACAAGTTATGTGTTTAGCGTAAAGTTTTAGCTTATACCCTGTTGATATTTAAGGTTAAAGTTGATTAATGTTAAACTCTTTTGTGTTGATATCTGAGGTTTATTGAATTTAAATTCCCTTAATGAAGCCAGACGTTGGAGATTATTTTTCTGCTCTGGACGTCCCCGACCTAACTTTAGCATGTAGCCCGTCGTATCAACATATGAAACCATATGAAACAATGTTTTTACGTATACAAAAACCCTACGACGCTTATCACTTTTAAGTTATATTTCTTTTACTCAAGCACACATCATTACAAAGACGAGGTTGTAAGAGCAATGCTCATTGAGCTTTAGTTCTTTGACCTTTTAAGCTCTTCACGCAAAGCGACATTATCCAAGACTCACAGATGCGCAAATCCGGCAGAGTGACTTTCTCTGTGGTTATTTTATTCTCTACGAGTGGAACGAGAAGAAGTTGGTTATTTTAAATTTTTATAAGCCGCGCGTTAAAATGAAAACGGAAAAAAGTAGTGGATAGAAAACGAAAACCGAACGCAACTTGAAGTTATTTGCAGATGACATATAAAAGAAATTTTCAAATGTGGATCTATTTTCCATTTACTTTTAAAACCTTTTACTGTTAACTTTTTAACGTTGACCGGATTTCGGCTTTTGGAGTTAAGGTGAGAGAATACAACGTCTTGGGCAACGGGAGAAAACGAGAACAATTTTTAGGGRCAGACCCACCCTCGACGCACTGTCACCTGTCTTAAGTTGTCTGCGTAATCGTGAGAATATCTGTATATGCTGTGAACAGAAGATTTTTTATTTCTGCGTTGGATTGATTCAAGGATTCGAGGAAAAGAAAACAGAACCAGACGGACTTTTTACCGCTCGCCGTAAACGCCATTCTTAAACTCTCTAATGTGAACTAAGGAATGAAATGCGTGTACGATGTAAACTTGTTACACTTCAAAGATCGTGACTGTCAAGAGCTATAGCTTGCCAAAAAGTAAAAGAAACAAAGGAAAAAAGGACATATTTCAATGAGTCAATCGCAAGCGGTGCATGGGAGAAACTCAACTTTACATCCTTGAAAGTCTTCAAAAACCACTGTTTAGCTGATTAATTAGTTAAAAACAAAACGTACCTCTAAGTCACCGTGCCACATGGTTTCTTTTTAGTGTTAAGTCCTTTTCATGCGAACACTTGACGTTATGTGCTAAGTCACAGATTCTCTTGATTGGATGAAACAGCGTTCCGTTAGGGCACATTTCGTGTCGAGTAACTCCCCCGGAACAGGATACAAAACCTGTGCATATCCGGGGGATGGGGTACTTGCCATCCTTCATCTTGCCGCAGAACTGCACTTCAGAAACTGTGGTAAAAGTGATTGAACGATTAGCTGTACTACGGGAAAGTGGAAGAGTAAACAATAAATTATATTTTCAAAGAGGTCATTTTCACGTGACCAGGGATACAGCTTTTTATAATGTCACGTAATGACCTCCTTCCCCCGATCAAATATGCAAGTGCACGAGGTACTCACGCGGTATGCGGCAGCTCATTGGACAGTTGTCTCTCATCCATGCCCAATTAGATTTCCTGCACTCGTCCTTGGTTTCCCAAGCCGGACAAAAGTCGTGTTTGTCATACACTGCCGCGTTTAAAACAGAAAGAAATGAAACTTTAATAGTAATAGATTCATTGCAGTCCATATTTCACCCCAAAGATTTACAACGGAGAAGCGAAAAGAAACTGAACCATTCGGCCACTCATTTTTTCGCTTCTTCCTCGATGCCCTACAAGGGAATGTTGGGATTGCTCATAGTCCCAGCGTGATCAATCGATAAAATCGATAATCGATAACAATCGATGGCCAATTTTTTTCATTGGCCATCGCTTTTCATAGATTGTCCGAACCATTTGCATATTTTTGAGGAGTTCAAAAAGAAAAGAAATATAATTATGTAACAGTTATTAAAATTGTAGGGTACGTATCTAGACCCAAGCGACAACACAATCAGTGCGACAGACGTACAAGACGTTTTCGCGAATGGTAAAGCCACTAGGATAGAACAAGGGAGAAAGACAGTTGCTTTACCATTCGTTTCTCTAAGTAAACTCAAGTATAATAAGCTTGACAGCAAACTATAGTCAATAACAATCGAAAAGCCAAACACCAAGTAGAAACACCAAGCGTCAACTTTAATTTCACGCCCAAGTACCGTGAACACAAGCGGTGTCGATAAGCCGTTTATCGCACGCCTATTTCAAGCAAGTGTCCATCAAAAATTGGCGCAGTCTTCTCAACAGCTCTTTATCTCTTATAACAGATAGATAAATCGATCTGTAGATTTGAGCACGTCCTACCTTGACACAAGCCACAGCTCCGTGGACAGTTTGTTAAAATCCAGTACCGTCTGTCGCCTTCAAGGCACTGTCTTGCTAACGCTAAATCGGCGCATTTTGGGCCATCATCCTTGCAAACTGCGCAGTGGAACAAGTAGAGCAAACTGATTAAAACGATTGTGGATGTGTGTCTCTCGCGGTAACTAATCACCATAATGAATTTGTACGACATTTAAAGGAGCTATGTCACGGTTTGCGCATCTTACAAATTCTAAGCCTAAATTTTTCAAGTTCGTCATTTGTAATCCGTGTTAATCTTTTATTATTATTATTATTATTATTATTATTATTATTATTATTATTATTATTATTATTATTATTATGTCTTTGGTGTTTTAACTCAAAATACTGAGCTCTGACTGAGCTCCTTTAACAAACCTCTCCCAATAGTTACTCCAAGAAATATATGGAGACCTTTGGGCAGAATTAACATGAGGACTTTCTTTGAAACACTAAATCTTTTTTCCTTCAGTTCAAACACACAATGTGTTCAGTCACTTACATACTAACAACCCGCTGTGCAATTAGCAAGGAGGGGCCTGAAGGAGGGAGAGGGAAGGGGTAATCCTTAGGCAGTCGCTCTCTCGGCCTTAGTCAATCGAGAATGAAGCCAAAAAGAAGTAAAAACTAACCCGGTCATTTTTTCTCTCGCTTATTTTCCCTTCTCGCTCAAGAGAAGTTGGAAAAGAAGATCTGTTCATGGTTTAGGGAGGGGTATGCAGGGAATTTAAATACCTCCGCACTGATTACAGCTCTTCCTACAGTTCCCCAGCATCCAAACTCGATCTCGTGCACACTCTCCAGCCAAAGCCCAGAACGGACACTTGGGGGTACTGTCTTTACATTCTAACAGAAAATAAACAACTTTTTTGTATTTTCAGTACTGTAATTGCTATTGTAAATAACAGATCTATAGGTAAGACATAGAACTGAGAGGAAAATTCATCTAAGGATAACACAACTAAGTGACAATCTACGAGAGAAAGGTCGATTTTCTCCAGCCTGTACAGTTTTAGTCATGCAGATCTAGTAAAGCCCCTTTCTGAATTAACTCGAAAACGTCCCCATACTGGTAGCTATTGAAACTATTATAATAAACACCAGTCTAGACTAGCAGTGAGATTCTTTGCGCCCATGAGGGAGGGGGGAGGAGGGATGTCTTCACCTTCACCTTACCTGCGCCAATAGACTCGTCAATAACGTGCTTGCAGGTTGCACAACAGTGCTTCTTCATCCACTTTGACTTCTTCTTGCATTTTCCCATGGCGGACCACAAACTGCATTTGGGATTTTCATCCCTACAATCTAAACCAGAAGAACAACACAGCTCGCGCTGCAGCTGAGTGCCGTTCCCTCAAAGTGTATACATATTGCTTTATTTCAGTGATTATTTCATGAGAAATCATTGGTAGTTATTTCTGTGAAATGTTCAAACTCTGTAAACCCAAGTTATCCGAAAATATTTCATTGAACAAAGCAGGGGGCTTCAGGTATGCGAGCAAGAGCGCTTATTCAATTGCTTCAAAACTCTTGGGTAAGGTTACCGATATTATTGCGTGTAATGTGACGAGAAGAACTGTTTAAGGCTGCATTCCTTTGGGGTGATCTGGATCAGAATCAGTGATCCAAGATCTGTCTGGATCATGGTGCATCAAAGAAACCGATGAATCCATGATTGAATGGATTCATCGGTTCTTATGATGCACCATGATCCAAACAGATCTTGGATCACTGATCCTGATCCAGATCACCCCAAAGGAACGCACCCTAAGCTTCTTTCTGGCAGATCTTATCACTCTTAGCGTAAAAGCTCTATTTAGCTCAATTTATGCCCACTGGGTAAGCGAAGAGGACTTATTAAATAGGGTATAACTGCGTCCAAAATGATTGGTTTACTGATTCTGTTTATGGCTTACTACTTTGAGGGAGGCCGGGGCTAAATACATATGGTGAAGTTCTAGAGGTGCAGGATTAAATCAGTGAGACGTTGCTTACATGTTTCCAGCACATCTCCAATGGGTGTTTCTGACAAAGAAACATATTTTTCGACTTCTTGTAACTGGTCCAGAGTCATGTTCAAGGGATTTAGAGATTGCGTGGCTGGCCTCGACGGTTTGTTAGTGATAACACGTGGTGACTCGGTAGTAGTCACGTTAGAAGGCGTGACGGAGCCAATACTCGACATGACGTCTGTAGTTTTGTTGGATAACACAACAGATGCAGCAACAGCCTGTTTGGTAGAAGTGGCTTTAGAGGAAATCGTCACTCTAGAGGATTTCCCTGGTGTTGTAAGTTTGGTTCCCGGTGGCTTGACATAGTGAGCGTGCGGAACTGTAGTTTGAACCACTTGAGGCTTTGATGTTGTAACGAGAAGAGAGGGCTTCGTTGCGGGCGCAGATGGACCACCTGAAAAAGTCGAATCAAGAGAGGACTCATCATTGACCGATGATTCAGCTAGAAAAGTCCTTCAAATGGCACCAAACAGAAAAAAGGAAACTTCTGACTTTTGTGCTCAGCGAGGTGCAATCTTAGTTCTCTTAGGTGTTTGGGAAACATTTCTTCGAAAGAACTCCGCCAAGAGACATCTCTGAACTGAGAACTTTCTCGAGTTATTTTATTCGGGGGAGAAGGGTTTGCGCATTGGTGAGAGCAATCACCTCCCATCAAGTGGCCCGGGTTCCATTCCGGCCCGGTGTCATATGTGGGTCGAGTTTGTTGTTGGTTCTCCCCTTGCTCCGAGGGTTTTTCTCTGGGTTCTCCGGTTTTCCTTCCTCCACAATAACCAACATCTCCAAATTCCAATTCGATCAGGATAGACCAGCTAAGGCTGATGTGGCGTCCTCTCTAAATATTATAATTGATTTATTGACGCTACGCTACAATAGCCCTTAACTTTTTCTATTTGCACTCATTATAATGCAATCCAAAGTGTATGTGAGGCAATTTCGGGCAATTTTGTAGTTTCAGCCCGAAACTGCCTCGCATCCACGTTAGATTACACAGCTATTCGTTAGTTATTATTAGTTCAAATGGAATTTGCTTCTTAGGCGTCGTCCACACCAATGCGTTTTCAATGATGCTTAAGTTCTCACACTGAAAACGCATAAAAAGCACTACTGTTTTTGCAGCGTTTTTCCCGTCCATACTTTAGCGCTGGAAAATGCTGATCGTTATGACAATCACACATTCATCATTTGCGCATACGCATTTGATGTAAATGCAATTAACGTATGCCAAAGGCAATGCTTTTACTATCCACACCAATACGATGGGGCTCCGTTTGGGAATGTCTCCACTTTGGACAGCTAATGCAAATGTATGCGCTTTCGATGGTACCCACCGTGCACAGTGTGCGAAACGCATCACAAACTATGCTTTCTCAAACGAAGAACGCATCAGCGTGCACGGGGTCTGAAAGTAAACAAAAGTAATGATGACGTTGCTACAAATTATCTATTGAGTTACAAGCATACCGCAAACTCCGCACGAGGCTGCGCAGTCCTGTTGCATGTAAGGAGCCCTGCACTGATGACCATTGCTAATTCTCCAGTGACACACCTCTGTTCCAACTTTGTCCACGCAGTGAACTAGGAGCACAGAAAGAACATACATGTTCACTATAAATTATAAAGGACAGCTAGGAAACGATTTCCTAGTTTTCTAAGCGAATAGTGAACAAGGCGGAGCCGAGTTGACTATTCACTCATAGAAGACAAGGGTAACAGTCATAACACCTCAAATTTAGGTACATTTAAACCAGTAAA